CATTGTTTTACTCCTCCCCTAAAGAGTGGTTCCTTGAGGACCCGCGTTCTTTTGATTGTAGTCATTGATGTCTAGGGCATATATAACCTAGATACCTATGCATTCAAGAGGAAAGAACAGAGCTGGAAAAGCCTAAAAGCTAAAGATGCTAACATTGTAGAGCCCATACTCTTTACTGGGGATGAAAAGAGTCAGATTGTAACTTCTTCTCCTTCTCCTCTCCCTCTCTTCCTCCTCTCCCCCTTCACCTCCACAACCACAGTACTTGAACATGGGTGGTCTTGGAACTCTTGTTTCTGGAGTTAGATTTTACCGGTTTACTTTTATCTCTGCAACTAATCCTGGACAATTGCCTGGCTTCTGTTGCTGCACACAGAAGGGGGTAATAAGGAAAAGTTATTTTTGGGAAGCGCTCTTGTGGTTAGGAATTGGAGTAAAGTGGTAATTGGATTTTGATATGGTGCATTGTCTACACTCAAACTTCCTAAAGTATGAGCAGATCAGGACCTTCTGTGCAGCTGTGTAAATTTTCATAGCTGCAGAACTGGCTTGGAGATTGGGAGCTAGGGAAGATGAAAGGACCACATGGGGTCTCAGCCTCTGCAGGGAGGAAGAGGAGCACCGACGTCACCTACCTTGTACAGCTGAAGTTCCTGTGATGCTTTCCAAGCATTTGTTTCTTTTTTTCAGTTCTGTCTTCTCCTTGTCTCTCTCACTCAAGTTGGGATTGTCTGGAACTCAAAAAAAAAGTTTGTACTCTGATAACAAAGGTGGTTGCATTTTGGTAGGTAGCCATCTAGTACCTGTTTATGTGATCCTGTGTACTTTGTCATAAACTGTAGCAATGTATTCAACTTTCTGTCTTTTAGCATGTACTAATTAAACATAAATAGGGTTTCATTCTGACCTGTTCATATGCAGTCCATTGATATTTTTTTTGGTTGATTTACTGATTGTATGTGTATTAATGTTTTGCCTGCATGTGTGTTCACCATGTGAGTGCCTGGTGTGCAGGAGGTCAGAAGAGGGTATCAGATCACCTGGGACTGAAGTGACATGGTTGTCAGCTGCTATATGAGTGCTTGGAATCAAACTCCTGTCTGCCACAAGAGCAACAAGTTGTCTTAATCGCTGAGCCAACTCCCTTGCCCTATGCAATCCATTTCTATTCCAGCTCTTCTTTAGTGGAATGTGTTATAGTAGTGCACAGTGTCTGAGCTGTTCCCTCTGGACTTCAAGGTGCTGTAGAGTTGTCGCTCTTAAAAGTAGTCCAGGAGAACAAGTGGCTCTAATGCTCTGGAATTCCAAATGACATGCCAGGGAAAAGGTCCTGGTTATCTAGACACGCATTCTCCCCTAAACTGTGAGCCATGTCATCAAGTGTGACTTGTGTGTTTGCTTCTATGCTCAATGGCTGCCTCCTCCTGTTAGCTGCTGTGAGTGAGTGTTGACACAGAACACCTCTCCTTGCCTACTTGCCATGGAGTTTAAACAGAGGGGTCTGATTTATGTTTAAAGGGCATCTAACACAGTGAAGGAAGTTTTGGCAGTTGGGGGTGGTGATAAAGGAAGCAGGTGAGCTCAGTAGCCAGGTCCGAACGTGATGAAGCTTGTATTCTTCCTTGTAACTTATGTTAATACCCATTAAACCTGTAAAGTGAGGTTGAAGCAATGTTTATATCAAAATATAGATGTTTGTGGAAACCGTGCTGTAAGTGAATATAGAGCTATGTAATTATTCCCATGGCCTTCTAGTCAGATTACCTTGAAAATCCAGAGTGATCTTGATGAACAATAGTACATTATGATTTCATGGTTCTCCTGAATACCTCCTACATAGAGGTATAATGCTTGAATCTAATAGGATTACCAAATTACATACCTTTTTGGTATCAGTAACGTACCTAAAATCCCAGTCTTCACGGGCTAGTTATGGTTTTGAAATGACACTGAGATGCCGGAGGAGCCTGTTACACCCATGGAGAGTCTTCAGGCTTTTCATCATTCTTAGAAAGGCAAGATGCTCTTTTTACTGACTTTAGGGTTGAGTCAGTCCACAAAAGAAGAGCTGCTTTTCTCTACCTCACACGGTGTGGTTCCTTTGACTAGCCTGGTGTCTTTGCAGGTTGCTTTCACCCTGGGCTCGCTTGCTGTCTCAGCACACTAACCGCCCACCTTCTGCCACCCACTGGCCTTCTCCTGGTGAGCAGGACCTGGTGGCTGCCGGGCTTCTGGTTTCCGCTCAACAGGTGGAGGATGGGCCAAGGACTGATGGCAAGGAGGAAGCAGACAGAAACAGTTACTCCATTCCCTGTAATCCTTTGGGAGGGATGGGCCAATTGGTGAGTTCCTCACAGGTATCCTTTATTAGAACATTCTTAGGAAGATGACCAGACATGCCTATCACAGCTTTATCCTACCCTTCAGCAGCTCTTCTTTAACCCCTTCCCACCCAGGTATTTCTTTCGAATCTTTGCTTCTATATTAGCATTCTCAGGCGCTATAACGAAGTGCCAAAAACAGTAAGTCATAATTATTTTTCAAAATTTATTTTTTTTTTCACGTTCTGGGTGGTAGAAATCATGAAGGTTGCTGGCAAGACTGTTCCTTCCTGGAGGCCACGAGAGAGAATCTGTTCTATGTCTCTCTCCCAGCTCCTGCTGGTGTGCTGGCAATCTCTGGTGCTCTTTGACTCATAGACATATGGTCATGAACTCTGTCTCCACCCTCACACAGTATACCGCACCCCCTGTGCATGCGTGTCCAAGTTTCTAACCATTGGGTCCTTCGGTCATCCTGTTCTGGTAGGTCCTCATTCCTCCTAATCATAACGGCAAGAGTCCTGTCCAGGTAGGCTCGTGTGCTAAGGCCCTTGGGATCGGGATTTTGGAGAGACACCATTCATTCCACACCACCAGTGTCTGAACTGCCTGCACTCAGGTGGTCCCAACACAGAACTGCGGGGCCTCTTCCAAACTTCCTGCTGTCATCTTCCTTTGGCAGTGCTTCGTCATCAGTCTACAGGGAGGCTTGGTGGCTTCCTGGTCCGTGTCCTTGTGCTTATCCTCTGATGTCTACTTCTGACCAGGGTGGTCACTGTGGCCTCACCTGCTGTTCGCCGTCAGTTCTGTCCAAGTCCCCATCTGTGGCTCGCACCTTTTCTCCTCTAGATGTTAGTCAAGCCTATCTTTTCTTCTCTTCTTTAAATGCATTTTTCTCATCGGTCCTTCTTAAGTAGTCACTTGACCCCGACTTTAATCTAAAAATGTGGAGTGATTTCTCTCTCTTGGCGACACACGGAGATCTGTCTCCTGACTTGGATTTCTGGCACGGATGCTCAGATGGTCTCTGGCTCTTCATGATGTCCTCTTCAAGCACAGTATGTTCTGTTTCACCCACTGCTCTCTCCATGTGCCGTGTCCTTTCCTCTCCAGCTTTGTCCAGATAGACATCTAGTCTGCCCACTTTGTAACGCAGAATGTCATAGGCCAGTTCCTTTAGTTTCAGTTTCTTCAGGGGAAGAATAAGTTCAAGGCAAACAATCTCTAAAGCCTAGTTGCTTTTAAAATGGATGTTTGAAACGTCGTGCCTTTCTGTGGCGCCCTTCCCAGTTCTTCGTGGGAAAAGAAAGTACCTTTTTCTTATATCCCTTACCATTTTTTGTTGTTGTTGATTTTTACACGTGACTCCTGTACTCCATGAGTTATTTATGTTTGTGATGACCTCTTGACTTTAGCCAAGAACGTTTGAGTTCTGTCTGCTCCTTCCCCCCCCCGCCCCCTTCCCCTGGTCTGTCCCAGTGAGACCTGGAGCAGAGGGTGCCATGTTATGGGCAGGTGTATTCTTAAAATGTTTGTTGTTCCTCAGTGTTCCATGCATTCTGAAAGTTGTGCTTTGGAAGGGAAACAGTAGGGAGATGCTCTATGGAGCTCAGTCTTGAGTTTTCGTTTCTTTGTAGCATTATTTTGGTCAAGTGACATGCTAGGTAACAGTTAAGTTAACTCTGTAGCATGTAGACAAATGTGTTCTCTCTGTAAGAAGTTTTAGAGGAATTCCGTGTTCTGTGAAATATATAGAAATACTCCTATTTTCATCCCTTATAACCTCCAGAGACTTGGGCTTCCCCAGTGTATTATTGAAATATTTGGACCTTTATAATACAACATGGTAGTGTTTGTTTGTTCCTAGGTAGTCTCTTTTGGGCTCTTTTCCTCTTTGCAGGTCATGGCATCCTGACTTGTCACGCTCTTCCTGGAGCATACATAGATTTGATCATGTTGTGACAGTCCTCAAAAACTCTCACTTGTTCCTTTTCTGTGAAGAAGAATGCTGTGGTCTTTTTCTTACCTTTAAGGTGATCTCTGGTCTTCCAGCACACTATTATCTTTTGTATACCTCATTGTCCATGCACAAATCAATTAAATTACCATTTCCTTGAACGGCACTAGCTTTGTTTTCCCCTGGATAGTGTCCGCAGACTAGTGGTATCTGCTTTCCCAGAACCAGTAGCACCTTGTGTCACATTACATGTCTGATCTAGCTGAAGATCCCTCGGTAGCTCCTCTACTTCACGTGTGGTCAGGGATGGCCAGTGATGAATGGGTCCTTAGGACTCAGTCGTATTCGGTGTGTAAGGCTGCTGATAAGGAATGGGGTTGCTTTTCTGTTTTGCTATCACTTGAAAGTATCCAGGCTTTAATCACAGAACCCAACAACGTGCCAAGGGAAGATTGAGGCCCAAAACATGGAAGAGACAGTTGGATTAGAAACTGTAGGCCAGTCGGTGTTTGCCCATGTGATCCCGCCTTGCCCTTCTTCAGGTTTCTCAACATGACCACCTCATACTGGGTGCTCAAGCAAATGCCGAGTGCTGCTTGCTGTGATAATTTGGATCATACAGTTCGACAGTGGCACCTTATTTGGTTACTTTACTGTATGGATATACAGTTCTATTTTCTACAGGAGACTGACTTTGTGTCTTTGCTTATTTTATGTTACAGGTTAATATCCTTCCAAGAATTCGTAGCATTTGAATCTGTCCTGTGTGCTCCAGATGCCCTGTTTATGGTGGCCTTCCAGCTGTTTGACAAAACTGGCAAAGGAGAGGTTACTTTTGGTAAGGAATGTGATCGTGGGAGCATTTCTTTATTTTAAGAATGAAAGATACTCCTATACACACTTTTTTTAAAAAATTGATTATAGATTTTTTTTTTCTTCACTTAATATTTCCTGATTATGGTTTCCCTTCCCTCTGCTCCTTCCAGTTTCCCCCACCTCCCACTCCCTTTATGTCTCATTATAAAACAAACAGATTTCTAAGGAATAATAATAAAATAATACAAAAAACTTACACCTCAAGTTGGACAAAACAAAGAGAAGAGCCCACAGAAGACACAGGAAACAGAGACCTGCTCGTTCACATGTGCAGGAATCCCATAAAAACACCAAGCTGGAAGCCTCGATATAAAGGGAAAGGACCTGTTACAGACCTGTGCAGGCCCTTTGCATGCCGCTTCAGTCTCCGATTTCATAGGAGCTTTGCTCATGTTCATTTAGAGAGCTTTGTTTTCTTGGTGTCCTCCATCCCCTCTGACTTCTAACATTCTTTCTGCCTCCTCTTCCTTATTTTTTCCTGAGCCCCGAGGAAGGGATTCGATGGAAATATGCTACTCAGGGTGAAGTGTTCCAAGGTCTCTGTGCTTCCTCCTATTTGTTTCTGTCTGCTTCAGGAGGAAGTTTCTCTCTTCGTGGCTGAGCCAAGGCACTGATCTGTCATTAGAGCAGGATGTCATTAGGAGTCATTTTGTCATGTCATTGCTATTTTTTTTTTTTTAGAACAGTAGTTTGGTTTTACCCTAGGTCTCTCTCTGGGTTATATTTTATCAGATCTTTAGTCTCCAAAGCAGTGTTGGGTATGGGATTCATCTCATGGACTGGGCCTTAAGTCAAATCAGATACTGGTTGGTTCCTCCCACAAGGTTCGTGCCACCATTGCCCTAACATACCTGGCAGGTGGACATGGTTGTAGATCAAAGGGTTTGTGGCTGGGTTGATCCACACATACTCTTTTGAGAAGTTAGCATGTTCCCCTAAACAACACTCCATTGGGGGCCAGGGCTCACACGGAGAAGGACACTGCTCCAGCCTAGCCTTAATAGGCTGCATTCGTTTCTAGGTGGGCATTGGTGTGGCAGGATGCCTTGCATACTCACAGAGGGTGACAGCTAAAAAGACTTGTGTCCCTTTCTTCTCTATGAGCCATGCTTTCCACTGCCCGGGGCAATGCTGATTATAGGCTGCCGGCAGTACCCACGCACCCTGCCCTTCACCCTATACCTCAAGAACAGTTTTCTGGTTTTGAATGGTTCCATGTACCATGACACGAGCTTTGACCTGGTCCTCCGTGGCAGTTACACACAGGGTGCTTGCCCAGCATCAAACCTTTTTTAATTTTAAAAGGCCGGTGAGTCTTTACCGAAGTTTGCTGCAAAAGTTCCAGAAAACCCTGAAAAATTTGAAGTGTACAAGAAGAAGACCCAGAGGTGTTGAGGGTGGAGAAATGTCCTTTTTAAAGAAGCTGGTTAAGGAAGTTCTAGAAAGTTCTGTGGCGGTTCCTGTGAGCCTGCTGTATCCTTGCCTAGAAGGAAGCCTGGAGCCTGGGTTGTACTTCAGGGGAAATGGCCAGTGTGTGTGTGTGTGTGTGTGTGTGTGTGTGTGTGTGTGTGTGTGTATGTTAATTTTGTGTGTTAATTTTAAAAGTGTGTGTTAATTTTCTTGTGCTGTGACAAAAGGCAACTTAAGAGAGAAAGCACTTATTTTTGCTCACAGTTTGAAATATGAGGGAGGTGTCAAGAGGGGAGCAGGAAGCAGGAACACGGGGCGGGGGGGTAGCTCGGCACCTTGTGTCCGTAGTCACGAAGCAGGGAGCAGAATGTTGGAACTCCACCAATTCCTTTTTATTCAGTCTGAGACTCCAGCCAACAGGGTAGTGCCATCCACATTCAAGGTGGGTCAGCCCCTTTTCAGCTAAACCTTTCTGCAAACACACTCAAGGTACAGGTAGACCTGTGTTTCCATGGCGATTCCAAAGGCACTCAAGTTTAAATGTCTCGATTCTGTTTCTGATTTGTTCAGACTTCCTAGGTGTGCCTTGTTTTGGTGTGTTGTGGGAGGTACTTAGATGAGGCACAAATAGAGATGGTGTCACACGGCACAGATTCTCAACCAAACATACCCAGCTACCATTAGCTCTGCTGTTTATCGTCCTGTTCCCAGTTGGCCACATTTTCTTAGCCCAAATGAAGATCAGAACTCCGTAGGTAAGATAGGTGAATTGATTTATTGCATTGGCTTTTCTGCCCGGTATCCATTCCTCCATGTTCAGTTGTCATGACAGAGTCAGTGCCCAGTTCTCCCAGCAGCACGATCAACACAACTTCCGGTGGAACAGCACCGAAATGGCTTGAATGGTCTTCAGGCAGCTAGCGAGCCTCTCGCTCAGGGAGGCCAGTGGAAGCCCGTCTGGTGACAGTGCTCAGGCAGTGTTATCTCGTGAGTTTCACAAAGTGCGGCCTTTCCTACCGAGCAGACGTGGGAGGAAGCTGGGTGGGGGTGAAAAGAGTTAAGGGGTGAGGCCCTTAGTACATAAGGCTTTTCATAGGGACAAATTGGCAAGGGATGTTGGTGGCACCAGCCATGCTAGGGCCCCTGTTGGAGAAGCACCCGGTGTTAGTTACTTTACTTGTTGCCGGGACACGTTTGATTGAAAGAATGTTAAGGGAGGGGAGAGTCACCCTGCGTTACAGTTCCATAGGTAAACTAGGTTAATTGATTTAGTGTATTGGCTTTCTGCCCTGTACAGGGGCTATAACCTACAGCAGGGAACACACGTGGCAGGGCTGTGGTTGGATAAATTGTGGCCACGGTCAAAAGGCAGAGAGCTGACCGGAAGTGAAACTGGGCTATAAACTCCCAAGACCTACCCTGAGTGACTTACTTCCTCCAGTGAGTGTCCTAAACGTTCTACAAACTTCCAGAGCACCACTACCAACTGGAGGCAAATCCACATTTCACATCGAATCAACAGACCCAGGCTGTCACCCGGATAGGGTGAGGTTAGGTCCAGATCAGAAGAGAACAGAAGCCATGGTGGGGAGGACTTTCCCGAAGTTCTGGGAGTCACCGCTGCCGTTTGTCACTATGAGTTGATCTTGCTGGTTTTTAAAAGTTAAAGTGGGACAATACCAACTAATACTCCTTTAAGACCTTATTTGTCTCAGCTGGGTTGATGGCGATTAAGATCCCTTTCAGAAGACATGAGTTCAGTTCTTAGTACCCTGTGGTTCAAGTCTAACTCCAGGGGATCTGATGGCCTCTTCTGGCTTCTCCAGGTATTTAGCACGTGTGTATGTGCTTGAGCGCATGTGAACACACGGACGTACATACACGCACACACACACGTACGCAAACAAAATAGATCTTTTTTCTGTTTGGAGATTGTAGCATCCTGTTTGGAGACTGTAGATGGGGAAGGCAGATGCTCATATGTCCTTGGCTGAGGGAAAGTCTTTCTTTATGCGAGACTCTTAACCCACTGTGAGCAAGCAAGCTATAACACATGAGCCTGGGAAGCCATTATAGCTAAGTAAGAAACAGCTAGTCACCAAAAGTTATTGGTAGTATAATTCCATTTACACAAAATTCCAAGTATAGTTAGGTACGCATGAAGAAAGTCGAGTGATTGGCAGGGGCTGGGGAAGACAGGAATGTGGGCTTAGTATTAGGGGAGATAGAGCTTCCATTCTGCAAGATGAAAGGATTTCAGGGTGGGTGGTGCTTGCACAGCAATGTGAGTGCGCCTAAAGCAACAACTGCAAACTTAAGGGCTTAAAATTAAAAAAAAAATATGCATATATATATATATATATATATATATATATATATATATATATATATATATATATATATATTAAGTATATATTCCCCCCCTGTCATTATGGGAGGAATTAAGACTAATGAAGGTTGAAGTTTTTGCAGCTAGTCACTGGAGTCAATGGGTGTGAACCCATTGGATGTGTGTCTTAGCTTTCTTAAGAGTAAGGCCTGTACTCTTTTAGGGCGTAGCTGCCAGGCACTTCCTGTAAAACAAAGACCAGCATGGGCCAGGAGGAGGATGTGCTGGTACCCTTCTGACTTTTCTCTTCATTCCTAGGATAGAGCCCTTTGCAGCAGAACTGCCAGGATTTCCTAGCAGTCCTTTCTGGCTATTCAGTCAAAAGAATTGAGATCAGGATTGGGAAGTGATATTAGCATTCATGTTCATTGTGATAATATTCACATAGCTAAAATATGGAAGGACCCGAATAACCAGGAACTTGTGATTAATGAAATGAGAGCTATTTATACAGTGGACTGTTAATTCCATTTAAAGAGGAACCCTCTCATATGCAACGTGATGAACCCAGAGAACATGCCAAGAGAAAATGGCTAGGCTCAGGCAGACTAATCCCACAGACTTAAGGTCTAAAGAGTGGCCTAAAGAGTGGAGACTGGAGAAGATGTAGAATTCCAAATCAAAAGGCGTAACGTGTTTATTAGGCATGATAAGTAAGTTGCAGAGGTCTGGTATATGATCCAAGGCTCTACCTGTAAATATTCCACAACCTCCCCAAATGGCCCTACCACCTGGGAACCAGGTGTTCAAACATGTGAGCCTGTGGCAGACATGTTTTTGTTCAAACCACCAGGGGGCCCTTACCCCAATTAGAATGATTTGGAAAGACATAAAGAAATTGGTTAAATCGATTTGTGATGGTGGAGGAGACTTTCCCAGGAAGAACGGGTGGTGTTGGGCCAGGTACTAAGGATGTGTGTGCGTGTGGCATGGTTGAGAAGCGCAGAGGAGCACCCATGGGAACCTCGGGAGGTGGGAGGAGCTCTGTGAGAGAACTCGGAGAATTAATAGGTCTTGTCAGGTCAAGCACTGCAGGGAAGGACAGGCATGGCTTCTGCTGCTGAATGAGGGAAGCTGTTGCAGGATTTTCTGGTAGAAGATTGACAGATTTGGCTGGTGGTTAATTCTGACTCTCGCTGTGAGAGAAGGAAAAAGAGACCTTG